ATAGTACCATCAAAATTTGTTGACTTGAATATAAAAACGGATCCAAATGTCCCATTTTTTTTTTTAGTATCGCAGTATTAATTTTAGGTGCATTTCATTTGTAAACTTCGGATTGTTGGGCTTCGTTTGAAAACCTTGGTTTAAGTTGTAGTTGTAGTTGTATTTGTATTGAATTGTATGTGGTTTGACTTGTACTTGTATTTGGGGTTCAATTGAATTGAAGCAGGTTTTGGTGAATTGTGTTGTTGGCTCTGTTGGTGAATTTTGTTATTTACTAGATGAATTGTGTCTTAATCTTAAAGTTTATTATGTTGATTCTTATGGCTGAATATTAGAGTTCAATGTGCCACTTGTATCAACTTTTTGTGGTTACCTAGTTAGTTGGAAAAATTCTTACAGATGTTTTAGGGTGGACATTATTAAAGTTTGGTTGGCCATTATTGTACCTAGTTCAAGAGTGGGTTTGCTTTGTGGTTCACAACTAAAATGACCTAGCAATTTGACTACCCCAAATGAGGAGGATACAAGTAGCCCTTGTTTCAACATTCAGACTTCAATGCATTCATCCTTGTGTCTCAGTTTATAAAACATTTTACTTTCAAAAAAATTGAAAGAGGAATAGGAATTATTATCAGTGGTTGAACTGTCAAGCATAAACAAGTTTTTCACATCCATGCCTCTCACAATCCATATCATCTACATAGACAACACACAACATATAGAACAAGTTTTTCATAACATTTAACTGATAAAGTAGGAAAAAACACAAAATAGGAAACGTAACAAGTCAGTCATTTAGCTGACAAAGTAGGAAAAGACACAAAATACAAAACAAGTTTTGATTACATTTATAACATTGGCCAAAACCTAACAAATGAGTCATTTACATGATAAAGTACATAAAGACACAAAATGCAATGACACAAGTCATTGCCTTGAACTTCTTCTCCATCCTTTGAAGCCTTCTATCATGCTCATGAAATTCATTGTCCATCTCACCAAGCCTTCTCCTTAGATCGTTAAATTCTTTTGTTCTTATAGTTGTCCGAGATCCACCATCGAAACGGATTGTGGAGATAACGCCATCGTCGTCCTCATCCGCGAACTTGAAGTAATTGCAGTGTTTCTTACTACTCTACAATGCACAAGAATTAGTTAATCAAATCACACAAATAAATTTGTAAATACTAAAAGATTAATTTATATAACGGATACTTACATATTTTGATGGGCAAACAAAAAACAAACGCCCTTGGTTTCCATTCTCATTGGTTCGTACAATATACATGGCAGTTGTTCGTCCACAATCACACAATCTTGGTTTTAATCTTATGTTGCTATTATTAGTAGAAGATGAAGCCATTTTTTAATATGCGTAAAAAATACGAAAGCTATTTTAAGGTCATGAAGAATGTAAACCCAAATGTCATAGCTCTGTGTTCTTGAATAACCAATTTGTTTTTCCTCTCCTATTGGGCTAGCTCCAACAACACCCTTTTTATGATTCAATTTTTTGTCAACAACACAGAGGCCTCAAACAATGCAACTAAACAAAATTGCCTCTTGCTTGGTTAGCTGAAAAGGAGCTAATAAACTAATTAGTGGAGAGTGACATGCTCTAACACAGAGCTAGCTATGGCATTTGGGTTTTAACTTTCTCTTTCTAATTATCAATTTTCTATTTTACGATTTTTGACATAGATTGAGAAACATTATGCATAATCTGACCAAAACCCAAATGCCATAGCTACCTCTGTGTTCTTCAATACCCAGAATTTTTGTTTATCAGTTGGACTAATCTCCAAGAACACCCTTTTGGATTTTGTTCCTATAGATAAGTTCACAAATGAGGTAGAAGTAGAACCTATTTTCCCCAAATACAAATGCCTCAAGCCAATGCAAGAAGGGTTTTTGTTTCGAAACTTAGTTGACAATTCCATGAAAGATGCATCGACTGAGGCGGTTCATGAGGTTAAAGCAACACCCAGATTTCAAATGTAAAGCAAAACCAAAACCCAAAACATTCAGTGTTCCTTATTAACAGATTTTTGCACATGTTGAATGTAAAGCAAAATCCACATTTCATAGAACAGATTCAACATATTTCCTCAACAGAAGGAAAAACCCATAATAACAAGACCATAACAATCATAGATTCATAAGCCCCAAACACATTTTCTCACAATTAAAGGGAACCCTAACACAAATTGAAAGCAAATTCCAAAACCAAATAGTCACAATTGACAAATTCGTACAGAAATTTAAGGCAAAACATAAACCCTAGTTTTGTCGAATTTGGGTTTACCTCAGATTCGTTTTGTTCTGGTATGTAATGACGAGTTTCAGGAGTCGTTAGTGTATGAGAGGCATCACACTGGTAGGTGAGGAGTTTGTTTTCTTTGTTCGTCGTATGTTGTTTGTCGTCGTTCGTCGTTTGGTTCCGTTACTGTATGAGTACAGAGGGAGGTTTAACAGAGCTAAGAGAGGGCTATTTATGAAATATGAGAGGGGTGAGAGGGCTTCAGCGTAGGGATGAGATTGATCTGGGATAAGAGGATTTCGGCGGCGGCGTTACCGTATGAGTAGAGAGGGGCTTAGGATCAGCGAGATGGTTTGGAGGTTTGGAGTCTGAGGAGAGGAGAGAGAATATAAGGAAGATTTCGGGCCATTCGAGCCTCAATTTTTCGAGCTACAAAGTATTATTGTTTAGTATTGCACTATGGGGCAACTACCTCCAAAGTTTCAAAAACTTCTTTTAATATTAGTATTAAGGTTAAATTATGCAAATGGTCCCTATAATTTGCACGATGTGTTAATTTGATTTTTATTGTTTTAATTTGTTCGATTTTACCCCTTAATTTAATAGATTGTGTCATGTTAAGCCAATAAATAATGGTTGTTAAGTTTGGTGGACGAAAGTCGTCACGTGCTCAAATGATGTATCAATTTGGTCCCTATAGTTTACATAATGTGTCAATTTAGTCTTTATTGTTTTAATTTGCTCGATTTTGACAGGAATCAAATTGATACATCGTGTAAGCTATAAAGACCGAATTGACACATCGTTTGGCTTTCCACCCACCAAACCTAACAGCCGTTATTTATTGGACTAATATGACACAATTCGTTAAATTAAGGGACAAAATCGAACAAATTAAAATATAGAGACCAAATTAACATATCGTATAAATTACAAAAATCATTTATATAGTTTACCCTAGTATTAATTAAAAAAATCAAATTATATAGGTTTATCGTTCCAAGATTAATTTATTTTACTTCATGAAGGAAAAAAAAATGATGTCTGTTACCCAATATATTTCACCTTTTGTATTTACATAATTAATTGCACGTGTTAGGGCTGGACAAGGAATCTGTAAAATCCATAATCCGATCCAGTCCAGCCCAATCCGGTAGGTTTGGATTGGTTTTTTGAATCCGTGGTTCGATTCTTGATTGAAGAATTAAAAATCCGTAGTCTACGGATTGATTCTAGATTGAACCCCATGGTTCCGAATTGGTACCGATCTGGACCGTATACAAATAGTCTATATTTTTATTATATACCATCCCACATAATATCTTCTCTTATTTTATATAAAACATAAACTCAAACCTAAATCCATATAGTATCTTCTTTTATTACTTTTGTTTGTTATTTTTTAGTTTTAATTAGTAATGGTCTAAATACGTATGGTGAAACTAGTTTTATTATGGTTGCTTAAATTCTAATGGTATATCGCTATTATAGAAAGACATGTTGCTATTATGGAACTAATATAGTGCTATGTTTATGTTTTTATGAAATTAAAGTGTTATATATATTTTTTGTTATTTAATTATGTGAATCCGTAGTCCTAAACCAATCCAATTCATGTTTAAATGGATTGGTTCAAATTGGTTCCACGATTTAAACGGATTGGATTGGTTTCAATTTTTCAGGAACCGTTAAAAACAGATTAGTCCTGATTTTACCCAAATTCGGACCATACTCACCCCTAGCACGTGTACTCAGAGATGATAACAATGCGAGCAGTGGATAATGATTTAAAAATAATCAAAATTAAAAGATGTAAGGCAATAAATAAATTAGTAAAAATGATGTTAAGTGTAATATTTTAGTGTTTTAATTATTTTTTATATTTGAAAAAATTAAATTATATATATGATATACATATAAAAATATAGTTGAGACGAGAGCGGGGAGCAAAACCTGTCCTCACTCTTCTCATCCGAGTAGAAAAAATTCACATAAAGCGGGGTGGGGGATGATGGGCAAAGTAGGACAAAAGAATTTGTCATACCTATTTATAATTCATTATATTTAAACAAGAAAAGAAGACTATCTCCAATCCACATTGGAGCATCCAGTTATATGATTTGTTCATCATGTAAGTCCTTATATGTAAACCACTCACTGAAAAAATAAAATTGATGTGATAATTATAATTATATGTTTTTATTGTATTTATCTTTATAAATTCATATGAGACCATGGGTAATTATTCAACAATCTCAGAATAGGGTACTTTCATCAATCAATAATGTAACAACAAAATTTTCCAATAAGACAATGTTGGTTTACCTTTATTAGATAATTAAAAGATAAAAAAAAATAACTCAATTCGTATATTTTGTCAAGAATAGAATTCTAACACCACCTATTGTTTAAGGAACATTGATAGAGACCCCCTTCAATAACTCCCACCCCCACCACCCCCACACACACGTTGGGGTTGGTGATTGGGAGAGAAGAAAAAAAAAAAAAAAGAAGAAAAATAGACCAATCAAAAGCAAAGAGGTCAAAGGAGGTGGGGGGAAAGAGGGTCTTAAACATTTTTGTTGTTTAAGTGCCCCAATTAGAATACATTTTTTTTAGGCTTTAAACAAACAAATTCATGATTCCCTTAGATTAGGTTTCTTTTAACTTTAAAAAGAATTTAAATTAATAAACTTATTAAATAAAGAAAAATTTCTCAAGAAAATATATATATATATTTTTTTATAATCCTCCTCTCAACAACTTATCCTAAACAATTTTGGATTTGGCAACAGAGATAACCTATAAAATATGAACACAAAACCAAACATGAAAACAAAATAAATACTCAGAGCTTGTCAATCAAGCCCTGTCAAAAAACAAAAGCTTCCATGGATGAGAAGGTTGAAGTTTCTGAGCCGCCACACGAGTATGTTGCTGACGCCAAACATTACCAAATTCTCAGCGTCATTGGCATGTCAGAAGGAGTTACTATGTACAAGGCATGGTACCTTCAAATACCGTCACCAAAACCAGACTCAGAAGAAGCAGAAGCCATGGTTGGAATAGAAGTTATCGATACATATAAAGTCAAAGACATCTTCAACTTCACCAGAAAAGTCCAATGGGCAAAACAATTGCGACACGAAAATCTGTTACAAGTCCACTGAAACCATCTCTGGGTAGTCATGCCATTGATGCCGCCGAGCTCATCCTTCAAATCCATCATGAGTTCTATTTTCCCACGCGGTTTACCAGAACCGGTCTTCGGATTTATTCTCAAGAAAACCCTAATGGCTCTGGACTACATCCATACCCACGAAGGCGTCCACGAGAATGCTGATCATGCATTCATCGACGAGAACTCGACGGTCAATCTCGCCTTCGATGCCCTAATTTAGGAGCCAGTTAGGTCTCCTCCACCTTCACCTTCCATGTCATGTATGCTCAACTGGAATGTGAACGGAAGCAAAGGTGATATGAGGTTGTCTGGAATGCTAGCATTGGAGTTGTTTTACGGCCGGCTTCAAATCTCAAACCCTAATGATTTGGATAACTTGGTGAAGAGAGTTATCTATGGTTTCAGTCCCTTGAGCAAGAGAGAGTAAAGTGAAGGTTGCACTGAGTTTTGTGAGAAAAATGGTGGGTGGTTGTTTTAGTACTGCAAATTATTCAACGAGAGATGTGAGGGGTGGTGGGGATGGGAGTGTGAAGGAGATGGCGAGATTGTTCGGAGAGATGGTGGCGGCGTGTCTTTCACCTATGAAGCATGGACACTTCAAAATCAGTGCCGTGGCAGTGTCCGACACGCGGACACGCCGGGGACACGGGGACACGCCGGGGACACGTACGGGACACGCCAAATGGCGTGTCCCTTTAATTTAATGATTTTTTTGGAAGGGGACACAGCGGGAACACGGCAGGGACACGAGAGATGTGAGGGGTGGTGGGGATGGGAGTGTGAAGGAGATGGCGAGATTGTTCGGAGAGATGGTGGCGGCGTGTCTTTCACAGCTGCCGTCACAAAGGCCAACGGTGAGCAAGTTGATGGATCATGAATTCTTTAGGAGGGGGGATGTTGCAGATCATCTGTTGGTACAAGAGTTTTTGACTCGGTTGAGAGGAGAGAAGATAAGCAAGGAAGGTTTCATGGTGATCAAGTAGAGAAGGAAGGTGAAACAAACATCAAAGTGAAGTGAATGAAAATATCTCATGTAAGATTTTGATGGGGCCTGTTTGGTATATAGATACTAATTTTTTTACTTATTTATTTTAAAATTACAATTTTTGCTTACAATTTACGAGATAAAAATAATTTAAATAAGATGAAAAACTTGATTATTGAGAAACAATGAAAGACTTTTGTGTTTTTTTGAATAGGCCACCCGGTCAATGCCCACCCCTACACACACCTATTCCTCAATAATTCACCTTTCAAAGTTGAAGCTTTCTCTGGCATACATAGGCAACAAAAGCATCAAAATGATTTACTAAACTACTTTCTCACCCAAAAAACTAAACCAACCAAACAATTTTTCAAAAACACAGGATATCAAAATTTTCCTTCTTCATCATCATGAAATAGGCCAATGTACAATAGAATTTATTACTCTAAATATTGTCTCACACTCATGAATTTCCAGAATAGTGAAATAGAAAGAATGAATGTTTAGTTACCCTCAGTCAAAGCTAAATGCAAGGCATGCTCTGCTTCCTTCAAGAACAAACGGGCCAGTTGTTTTTGCCCTCTTCGATATACAATGCTCGACCACCTGTTTTTACTCATCCCATTTGTCCGACAACTGTGGCAAAATCCAAACAAAAAGGAGGGTTTAACATTCATTGAAACTGGGAATATATTTTATGCCATTGTGTAGTTGACAAGGATATGAATGAAATCATACAAGGATGTTCAATGATGGAAGAGATGTCAGGTACATGTATGGCATGTTGATTACCAAACCCAAGTTCATTAAAAATTATTTCCCAAATGCATGTTGTTTTGAACTTTTCCCAAACTTGATTGTTTTATGAAGTGTTTTGAAAACAAGAGTTTAAGCCTGAAGTGGCCTTTTCAAAACATGAAATCAATAAAGCCGTGTTTTGAAAACACGACAATAATGAAGTCATAAAAACATAATAAAATCATGTATTTGTAAACACAACTTCACAACACATCCAGCTCAGTTGTGTTTACTTATCAAACTTCACAACATAATGAGATATAGCAGTGCAGCTTAGTTTCACAGAAAGCAAGAGGAAATAATCTACTTATCAAACAAGGCATTAGGTCAGGCAGGAACAATCATTATTGCTATAATCTTGAGCTATTTTGGTACCTTTCATTCTCTTCTGGGATTTCTGTGCTGCGGGCCTTATTAAGTAGTTCAGTGTCATCGTCCTCTGTTCCAGAACTCTCTTCGAGATCTATCATCCTAGCACGCAGGAAATTCAGAAAGGCAGCAGAGATGAGATGTTTTGAAGCAAATTCACGCAGGATGATGTGAAAAATCATAAATGAAGAAACCGTATAGAAACATTTTATCCTCTCTGGGGTTAATGATCCATTTTCAATGAATTCATATTTAAGTTCTAAACCTGATTGCTTCCAACAAGAGAGAAATTTGACCGAAAAATTTAAAATCCTGAAATGCCGATAACAAATTGAGTAAAATGTAATTTTAACGAAAAGAGAAAAGAAAAAAGCAGTGTACTCTTGTATGAACTCATATGCCAATTCTTAATTAAGACAAACAACTTATACAAGGTAGATGAACTAACCTTTCACGTTAAAAACCAAATGAAGATGACATCATACCATATGTAAAAGAGACCTTGTATGATAGACCTCCATCATAACCAACCCTCTCATATTTACTTGTTTATGGTTTTTTCTTTTCTGGTGTTGGTGCGGTATTTTGGTTTTTCTTTTTGAGCTCAATATGAATGAACTCATCACAGACAAAACCCAATAGCTAAGTTCCAAATAAGATTGTTATTGTTTAGTTTAAAAGAGAATAAAATTGCAAAACTTCAGTATCAAAATAGAGGGGTGCATACACCAAATTTGTTCAATCTTCAATCATGCCATGAAGAAAAATTTGCGAGTTTCTTGAAGAAGAATTTGTGAGTTCAATCTTTGAAACATCCCAAAAGAAATCAGAGAACAGTGCTTAGAACTACATTCATAAAAACTTTTCCCTTACTACAGTCGATGTGCCAAAGAATGAGTCCCAAGAGGCATGCAGACCAAGAAATTAAAGATCTACGTTTTATAATAAATAAAACGTTGCTAAATTATAAGCAGAATAATAATATCAACGAACTAGTTTTCAGAGGTTACTTCATATTAAGAAGATCAACGAGCAATTGTAGAGCACCAGAATCCCCACAGGCCTCCCATATTGCAGCTCGAACTTCTCCATCAGAAGGTTGCTTCTCTCCATCAGAACCAACAAGCTTCAAAGAAAAAACAGAAGATTCAATTAGGATTTGACAACAAAGAAATTAAATAATTAAAGCAAACAAATTGTAAAAGTAACTAACAAGAACCCCTTTATCAAAGAAATGTTCATATCCAACCAACTGAATACAAGAAATTACCGAAACACAACTGAATACACAAAGCAGAAGGCAACATAAACATCCAACCATAGATGAGAATAGGTACTACTTAAGAAGCCACACGCACCTCTTGCAGCAATGATGAAACCTGACAAATTTCATCTTCCTGCATGGCTATTGTCCTCAAGGCAGTTAAGAAATCTTCGGGGAAAACAAGCTTTTTTACGTAAGAAGGCATCTTGCGCTGCCCACACCAACTATAGTTGCAAAACCGATCAACGGTGCATTTATCATTGCTTTCTTTCTGTGGGGTGGATGGTGGAAAAAAACCATGATCCAGCAAGCTTCTAGGTAAAAGACACCTCAGTTCAGCCTTCTGTGAAAACAATCAAGTTTGTTAATGAAGCAAATATTCATATGTACAAACAGATATATACAAAATATGCAGATGCATTAACATACTCATATACAAAACTAGCTTCACTTTACTATAGGAATCAAAATAATCCTCAAGAAGGCATATATTATTGAAAAAATTACAAAAGAAAAATACAGAGAATAAGTTAAGATTGTTTAAACTGCTGACCTGTGCTTCAAGAAGCTGTACTTTGGATTCAGAAAAGGGGACACTCTGAATAGCCTCTAAAGGATAATGAACCTGTACAGTTCATTTATTTCAATAAGATTTAAATCAACTAATTATAAGTCAACAAAAAGGCTGTTTTATTTTGTTGTGGCCCCGTGTCCTTGGACATGGGATTAGATGAATTAGACACTTAAGACACAAACCCACATCCCACACCCAAGTCCATGTAACATAGGCCTGATGTTAAAATAGCATAATGGGAAAGATAACATGAATGAAAAGTAGACATGTTAAAATTTTGAAACAAATAAATTACCATGACATAGTCATCTGGATTGTTATCAATAACAAATCCATATAGGTACAGCAGTTCCTGCATTAAAAAATAAATAAATAAATAAAAGGAAGAAGAAGAATATCAAAAGGCAGACAAAAGCTTCCACTTGCCTGTGCAGCTGCATCAAAATAATACAAGTTCCATATATATCAAAACTTGCGTGGCATAAATAATCTAAACTAAGATCAATCATATCAGTAAGAAATGAGTACAATTCAATTATAAACATGCTGTCTGCAATCATGCATAGTGCTATGGTTCTAGTTGAAGGCAACACAAACACAACAGGAAAGCCAAAGAAAGTGAGGTAAGGTAAGGTAGAGAGAAAATAATAAAAATAAGTTCTAGTTGAGTTTTCGAAAATATTTGCAGCCAACTTATAACGATCTTCTGACCGTTAACCCAAAACATAGTAATATATGTCCAATAAGTCTTGTGAACAAATAGAAGTTTAAAAGCTAAACCGGTGAAAGACACATATGCTGTTGATCATGGAATTTACGTAAGGAATTATGTACACATATGGATATAGGTGAACATATCACGAAGATGATACACACGTAAGTAATTATGATAATAGACATATGGTGGCCTCCCAGTGACAACAGACATTACCTCATTTCCTTTGTTACCATAGCTAATAGATATCTCTTTCTCGATTTGGAGATGACTTTGACCAGCTTTCAAAGAGCGACAAATAAAATGTCATGATTAGTTAGATATTGTGGTAACTTAACAAAAAGGAAAAGGAAGAAAGATAGAACTTCATCACAAAATGTTACAACTACACAAATTTAATTTTAGATTAGATCAACAAGGAAAGTTAACACCTGTATAAAGGACAAAAGAACATGAAAGGGAGAGGGTACTACCAGAAAGAAGGTACATAGAACAAGGAACTCCTGTTGTCAATCCTGTTCCATCAACTTCCCAAGTCGCGGCAGCCTTTAAAACTGGACAACAATTTTGCAGCAACGTAGACAGAATGAATACACAAGAAAACCTTAGAATCAGTTTGAATCTAAATCATGAAGAATATAGAAAAATCACCTAAGCAAAATAAAATCACCACATTAGCCCCTAATTGGTGCCTTGGGCACATTCATGCATACCAGTAATGATACAGTTTATGTATGGATCGTTCTTATGCATACCTACTTACATGATTGCACGCATACAAGCAAAAACCTTGATGCTAAGGAGTTGAGAGGAGAAGGTCATACAGAATTATAACTATCCAAGAAAAATAACAGGCTAAAAATCTTACTACTACTCAGCAAGTATTGTTATGGAGCATCATGAAGCAACTGGAGAGGATACACGGTATCATGCATCCACAAATTTACACCATATGCAGCAAGGAAGGAGTTAAATTCTAATAAAAGTAAACAGACACTTTAGCAACAGCCTAAGACCATCACTCTAAGGAACACTCGAGTAGATTGATAGAAAGGTTCCACTATAGGACTAAATAATACATCTGAGATACAGAAGAGGAAATGTTATAAAGAGCTGAAGTACCACTTCTTGTACAAATAAAAAGATAAAAAGAAAATAAATTTATGATTGCAATTTGTGGAAGCAAAAATGAATTGTAATAACCCAACCCTCTCATATGCTTTAATTCTCCTTACAGGTGCGATTATATGTGTGCTTATGTGTTTGATGTGAAATTCCATGTTTTAATGTGTGAATTACATGTTCATAAATTTGTATCTGTCGGTTATGAGAAAACTATTGAAATTACGTCCTTTAGACTAAAAATTGAAAGCCTTAGAGGCGCAATAAGCCAAAACCGACCACATAGTTATGATCAGCATGATTTTTAGAGTCTAATATGAATTTTGGTAAAATTTTGATTCGGAATAAATTATCTTGTGTGTTTTCGGCTCGAACTCTAAAATTGACGACCTAAATAGGTTCAAAAACCGAAATGGTGCACCTAGCTAGGTTAATTGGAATTTTTGGGATCATTTGGGAAGTTTAATTAAAAATTTATTTTGTTTGATTCGTTAAGGTGTGTATGAGCCACCTTTAAATGTATATATATACATATATATATAGATAAGTGATATAAGCCATTTGAGCTCATCTTTATCTTGATTTAAAACACAAAAATCTGAGGAGAGAGAGAGAGAGAGAGTTCTAGAACGAGAAAAGAGAGAGGGAGAGCTCAAGGAGAAGAAGGAAGAGAGAAGAAAAGAGGAAAAAGGAAGAGGGAACTTGAAGAGAACATTGAAGTAAGCTAATCTACAACAAATTAGCCAACTAAGGTAAAGCATCTTCCTTTAATTTTATGAATACAAGTTGTATTCCTCATGAGATCATATAATCTAGGTTGAATTAAGAAGTTGAATGGTGTAAATGGGTGTTAATTGAAGTAAGAACCCTAAAGGAGAAGATTATTTTGTTTTATCATCTTGGGTATATGAAATTAGACTTGGATTCCTTGCACTTGTTAGATTTGAGAGTTAATTCCCTTATATTTGCTTATCTTGAAGTTGATTGTGAGAAGTGGAGCCTTAATCTTGAGGTTTTGTATGGTTTGAACTCATAAAATTATATATGAAATGAAGATCTATGTGAATTTGGAAAAAAAGGTTTGAAAAAAGAACTAAATCAGAATTTTGATCTTTCTTGCTTGAAGATTCATTATATTTTTGATGTTTTGATTTAGAAAACAATCATAATCTCATTTTTCTATTAGTTTTACATGTTTTTGAGTGATTTGAGTTGAAACCTAGCTTGGAAAATGAAAGAACAAGTGTTAGAACCAACAGATATTTTCGACACCAGAATTTTGCCCAGAGTCGCACGTGCGGTGGGGCTTCGTGCATGTGCGGAAGTCTATTTCCAGCAACATTTTGTATTCTGAAATAATTGCAAGTGCCCCCACACGTGCAGTTTTGGTCCTGCACATGCGGAACTCCTGTGTTTCAGCCCAATTTCAAATGCACATCTCTCTCATCCGAACTCCGTTTTAAGTGATTCTTGAGCCTAAATTCAAGCCCCGAAAGTCTAGTTTCCAATGGTAGTGATCTCATATCCAAATTCGAAGTACACAAATAGATATGTTCAAATTAGTGAAGATTGTTCACTTTCTTTTTAACAGTTTTGTGTTATTTTATCTCCTAACCCAGTTTCCTTTTGTTTCTTCCTATTTTCCGAGATATGAATTATGACCCATTGAGAACTAATGATTTTAGAACCAACATAAATAATTGGTTAAGAAGCAAAGTAAAGGATCGGTTTATTTGATTAAGAAAAGATTAAGATAAGTAAATCTGATCAAGAGAGTAATTCTATGTTTCGATATGTTATGCTATGCGCATTGTGATTGCAGGTCAAGATTCGAGGATAGGTTAACCAGTTCTGGAAACCACTATGAGTAATAGTATCGTAAAGATATATTCACTGATAATTATTTTGATATAAATGATGTGATTTTCTGAAATTATGTTTTATTCGAATGAATGAGTTTCAAGAAATGTGATAGGGATTCTGGATACGAAATGTGATTTGCTTATACTATGATAAGTGGGCCCAAGGCCGTTCTGGTTATACTGTGATATGTGGGCCCAAGGCCGTTCCGTTTTATGTGAGAGATAGGGGCATGTCGATGTTCCATCTACTCTATGATAAGATCCATTTGGACCTGAGGTTGTTCCAAGCAGCTGTTATCATGTGATTGGGCCTGAGGCCGTTCTGTATCATATGTGGACCTGAGGCCATTCTATATCATATGTGAACCTGAGGCCGTTCTGTGGACCCGAGTGGACCTGAGGCCATTCTATATCATATGTGAACCTGAGGCCGTTCTGATAAATGTTGGGCCTGAGGCCGTTCTGTGGACCCGAGGTCGTTCTGTAAATGTGATTTAAGAAATGTATGAATTTATATTATTATGCTTACTATGATGTTGGGCTCATTTATTTAAACTTCTTTACTGTATTATTACTCATTGAGATTCGTTCATTCTGTATTTTATATGTATGTAGGTGATCAATCTGGAGACCAATATTAGGCCAGCCTCAGGATTCCTTTCGTGGACCTGTTATGCCAAGACTCCAAGATGGAGCTTTTGCCCTATTGAGATCCTCTATGTAAAGTTTGCCCTTTTGTCAAGCCACCCAGGATGCGCCTCTGTGTCGAGACTTTAACTTTGTATTGTTAGACTTATGTATTTTATTGAGTCTTATGTATATATGTGTGAGATATATAAGATTTGTATATGAATATAAATTGCTAGTGTGTCTAAATGTTTTAATTATTCCAATTATCATATATGCACAAACTCAATGGACATTATTATTTGTTTTGCTTCCGCTGTAGGCCCCAATATGATTTAAATATTTTGAAATTTTGTTTGAGGCCGAAGGTGATCTAGGGTTACTGGCCGGTCATGATTCAAATTTGTAAAAAATATATGTATTATTGATTGATGTTTTGATGTATTACAAGATTGATTTATTACAATTCCTATACAATCTATATATAGAAGAAAATGTGGTAGTAGGTGTAGTGGAGGTGATAGTGGGTTAGGTGAAGTGGAGTGTGTGGTGAAGTGGAGTGTGTGGTGAAGTGGAGGTAGGTGAAGTGGAGGTAGGTGAAGTGGAGTAGGTGAAGGTAAAGATGGGAAATTCTAACAGCCCCCCGCAAACTCAAGGAGGATAGAAACTAACCAACTTGAGTTTGGAGAGAGGAACAAAACAAGAAAATACATAAAAATAAAAAAAGATAGGAGACACTGTATGGTTGTGTCAGACCGTTGGTGAAGACACTGAAAGGTGGTGCCATAACGTGGTAGAGGACACTGGATGTGGTGTCATAATGGTGTAGAGGACATTTTATGGGGTCATGTCGGACCGTTGTAGAAGACAGTTTATGGGGTCATGTCGGACCGTTGTAGCAGACACTGTTGTGACAGTTGTTGTGACAGTTTACGGAGTCTTGTCGGACCCTTTAAAAAATCGCATCCTCAAAAGGTGCGCTCAATTTTTTAAAAAGGCGTGCCATCAAAAGGCGTGCCCAATTTATCAAAAAGTGCGCCGGACATGATGGCAAGGCACGTGAGTGTCTTGGTTGGCGTGCCCGTTTGTCGTTTGGCGTCAAGAGGCGCGCGATGCGCGTGGCTGGCCCTGGCTATTTAAAACGACAGAGCCTGAGGCCGAGGCAGAAGCAAAAAAACTGCGAAATCCTCTGTAAAACTCTTCGTTGTGCTGAGAGAGAGAGGCTGTAACACTGTTGTGCTGAGAGAGAAACTCTGTAATACGCTGTAACACTCTGTTGCCCAGAAAAATGGCCTCGTCCTCGTCTTCCCGTGGACTGCTCACCCTCTTTCCCGACCTCAACGAGTCAACGAGAGAGAGAACTGGTGCGGTGGCACTGGAACCTCAACCAAACACCGCTGGGTATACTCCGTTGAACTTTCCGATGCGGTCTGTGGAGCAAAGAATGGCAGTGCTGTCGGATGTGGAGGCCAATCAGTATACTTTGAAGGTATGTGTGGAAAGCATGACGGCGGTCACAAACCTGTCGAACCGGCTGCAGAGTAGGACAAATGAGGTGCAGCAGTTAAACTCCCAACTGGCTCTGCTCCAACGCATGTATAAGGATGCGCGAGCAGAGATAAGCGTGCTAAGGGCAGAAAACAAGGAGCTGAAGCGGAAGGCCACCGTGATGTTCCGATTTGGAGGACCGCCAAATACATGTGTCAGTATAAAGGGAGTAGGCTGTGTGCCAATGAAATGAATGAGTTGTGTGCCAACAGAAATTTGGGCTATGTGCCAATAAAACAAATGGGCTGCGTGCCAGATTTGAGGGCCACCATATACTGATGTGGAGGAGTATGGGGGAGTGAACGTGCTCGGCGGCGTGGAAAACACGGAGGCAGCACCGCAAGGGCGCCCAGGACGGAGGCAAGAAGAAGAGACCGCGGCAGAGTAGAGAAAAAAAATCCCAAACTTGGGTGTGGTATGTTTTGTTTGTTGTTGGTTGTTTTTTTTTTTTTTTTTTTTTTTGTTTGTGTAAAATGTGGAACGGGGATGCCCCCGAATGAATAAAAGGAGTGTGGTGTGCAACTT